CCCCATTAGCACTAACCACAAATCCAAGAAATATAACTCTATCCATACAAAATGTGCATTTCTTAAGATTAGCATAGAGTTGTTCTTTCCTTAAAATAATTAGCACACATTTTAAATATTCCAAATGCTCTCCTAGGTTTTTGCTATAGATTAAGATGTCGTCAAAATAAACCACAACAAATTTTTCTATAAAAGCACGTAAAACATGATTCATTAAACGCACAAAAGTGCTAGGGCATTTGTGAGTCCAAACGGCATAACCAACCATTCATATAAACCATATTTATTTTTAAAAGTCGTTTTGCATTCATCACCCTCCCGCATACGAATTTGATGATACCCGCTTTTTAAATCAATTTTAGAAAATATACAAGAACCATGTAATTTATCAAGCATGTCATCTAACCTAGGTATAGGGTGACAATACTTTACCGTTATGTTGTTGATAGCCCTACAATCCACGCACATTCACCTTGTTCCATCTTGTTTTGGTACAAGCAAAATCGGTACCGCACAAGGACTCATGTTTTCCCTCACGTATCCTTTGCTCATCAACTCCTCCACTTGCCTTTGAAGCTCCTTAATCTCCTCGGGATTACTTCGATAAGTCGGTCGATTCGGAATGACAGCTCCGGGTATGAAGTCAATTTGATGTTCAATGCCTCGAATAGGCGGCAATCCACTTGGTGTATCCTCCGGAAATACATCGTCGAATTCCTGCAACAAAGACTTGGCCAAACTAGGGAGGGGTGGGTTAGTTTCCTCAAAATTGAGGAGTGATTCCTTATAAATGAACAAGATCATCTCTTTTCTCTCAACTACCGCCCTCCTCAAATCACTCTTTTTTTCAAAGAAATTCGCTCGTGTTTTCTCTCTTCTCTCGGGGCACTCTTTTTCTTTTCTCTCTTGTGATTGCTCTCTCTTTTTCTCTCTAATGGCTATCTCAACATTTTCTCTCTTTTTCTCCAACTCACTATTTGCTCTCATTTTTTCTAACTCTTTTGCTCTCCTCTTTTCCTCACTTCTCAATTTTAATTGATCCTCATAGACTTGCGCCGGTGTTAATGGCACAAGAGTAATGGTCCTTCCATCTTTAATGAAACTATATCGATTTTTGTACCCATCATGCATAGCTTTCCTATCATATTGCCATGGTCGCCCCAATAAAATATGTCCCGCTTGCATTGGCACCACATCACACACTAACTCATCCTTATAACTCCCAATTGACAAATTAATTAACACTCTTCGATTCACCCTCACCTCGCCACTCTCATTTAACCATTGCAATTTATAAGGTCTCAGGTGTTTCAACAATGTTAAACCCAACTTTTCTACAAGAGATACGCTCGCTACATTAGTGCAACTACCACCATCAATTATAACACTACATACCGTATTGTTGACATGGCATCGAGTGTGGAAAATATTCTCCCTTTGCAACTCCAAGTCATTCGCTTTGACGTGAGTAGTGAGAGCTCGCCTTGTGACTAGTAGATCCCCAATCGGCATGTCATCAAACTCGCCATCACTATCGCTCACAATCTCTCCATTATCCCGCAACACCATCACCCGTTTGTTTGGGCATTGAGAAGCAATATGCCCCGTTCCCAAACACCTAAAACATTTGATGTCCCGATTGCGCGATGGTTGTGCCTCCAGTTTTGATATTGGTTTGCTAGCATTTTCATCCTTGCCCTTTTGCCAATCATTTTTATCTCTAGGTGCAGCCCCATTTTTGTTGTTGTCATCCCACTTCGATTTCCATGTTGGATTAGGAGTCGAAGTACCTAACGGTTGCCTAGACGTCACCTTCCTCTTGAATTGCCTCTCGACCTTCATTGCCACATGTAACATGTCCTCGATTTTCACATAGTGTTGCAACTCTACAATATTTGCAATATCCTGATTTAACCCATTCAAGAACCGTGTCATGGTAGCTTCCCGATCTTCCTCCACATTAGCCCGAATCATAAGAATTTCCATCTCCTTGTGATAATCCTCCACTTTTCGATCCTTGGTACAAACCTTGCAATTTTTGATGGATTTTCCTATAATAGTGACTCGGAACAAACCTCCTCCTCATCAACATCTTCAACTCATCCCAAGTGTTAATTGGCCTTTCCCGACCCCTACGTCGTTATGTAAGTACTTGATCCCACTAAGATATCGCGTAATCCACGAATTCAAGCACCACCAATTTTACCTTTTTCTCCCCCGAATAATTATAACACTCAAAAATCATCTCAACCTTCCTTTCTCACTCTAAATATGCTTCCGGATCGCCTCTTCGCTTAAATTGCGGAATAATCATTTTAATACTCCCCAAATTTCCATCTACTTCATCTCCTAAGTTATTTCTACCCCATCTTTCCATCCTATCGTCCCTATGCCTCGCTCGACCCATATCAATGTCATTTTCATCAAAATCATCCTCATCACTACGATACTCATCCCGCCTTCCTCTCCTAAATTCACGCCTACCCGGCCCCCTAGCATTAGATATCTCCACTTGTCCTCGACTAAGATTAGCAATTGTAGTACCCATTTTCACCATCCATTCCCCTTGCCTATCCACCTCCTCCTTAACATCACCAAGTACCCTTTCAAACCTCCTTATCATGTCCTCCGATGCATTGTTGTCATTACCGTTTCGGCTTGAATTAGAACCTTCTCTTTCCGACATCATATCACACAATTTTTTTATGCCTCACAAAGATTTCACTCGAAAAACACTCACTATGATTTTTTCCCTCTATTAAACTTACCACTCGACCTTTTACTATTCAAAGTCTCCCTTCAAGCACTTCAAAGAACCAAGTGAACTAAATCAATTGTTTTACCAGCAATTCAAACAAACTGAG